AACAGAAAAATAGTGATTAATCTAAGAATATAGCCAATTATATGAAACTAAATGAAAAGTTTAAAAAAAAAACCCCCCCAAATTAGAGAACAAAAGATAATAATAAAATAATCAAAAATAAAGAAAAGTACAAAAAAACTCAAAAAAAGAACAAAATTATATAGAAAAACTGATAATAATATATAAAATTATAAATAAAATAGATAACATCTATATAATATAGAATATTCTAGCAGAGGTATAACTAACATATATAAGAAAATGTCTTTAATTTTATAATATAATTAAATTATATAATAAAAAGTTATAATAATTATAAAGCTATAATATTTTTTTAATCTAATTTTAGCAGTTAGTAAAAAGATTAATAAATATATTAATAAGTGATTGAGGCATTAAAAAACTTTGTAAAAAGTTTTAAATTAACAAAATTATATACTTTGCTTATATCTTAAGACAAAAGTCATAATTGTTTATCATTACAACTAGTATTTTTAATAATATTATTGAGTATATGTATAAGAATAAAGATACTGTTTTCTGATAAAACAATATAGTTATATAAAGATAAAATAGAATATTGTATAAATATAGAATTAAGGTGATTAATAAGAAGTTTAGTATATAGTTTTTTAATATATTCAATTAGACTAATAAATTTAGTATTAGATAGGTTTTTATCAAAGATAAGTTTATTATTATTATTATTAAAACTGATATTAATGGCAACTAATGTTTTTATTTGTGTTTTTAGTTAATACATTATATATTACTTGTATAGAATAAGCATATAACTAGTCATATGTATAACTTTTAGTTACTTATTTAAGTAGTTTGCCTAAGGGTTCTACACTAGCTATCATATCTATAATCTACTTAGAAACTATTTAATTAAATACTCTAGTTCCTATACTACATCTAGACAATTAGGTACTCTGGTTTCTATACATCTAAGTGCCATCTAACCTAACATTTTGCCTCTTTTTTGTATATCTGTCAAGCTATTATCCAATTTCAGAGCATATTACTTAACTATAAGGCTTAGAGAGCCTCTTTATTAACTACTTATCTACTTTATAAAATATTAACAGTGTTTGTTCTTGTAAAGTTTATCCAGATCTTAGTACTTGCTTCATAACATATCCCTAGTACTTTTAGTATATACCTGTTTTTTTTTAAACTCTCATTCAGATAGTCTAGTAGAACTATAACTAGTCTATTAATATATTAAGTTAGCTCAATATTCTTTTTCTTTAATCTTTTTAATTGAAATTTTAGCAGTCTGATTGATGATACTTCTACCTAAAGGTTTTTGCCTACTTGGATACTTCATATTGATATCTGTTTCCTAGATCTAGTTTTTACAGTAGTACTATTAAAGATCTATATTATCTTTCTACTTAAATCTTTCCAAATAGATTTCTTATTCTCCAATTTCTATGAATTTACATGACTACAAAGACTTATTTTAAGTTTGCACTATTTGATGCTAGTTTGCATTTCTTATATAACCAGTTACACAAATGCTCTATAACCTGCCAGTATACTAATATGATCATAATTACAGATATCTTAATCTAATTATTAGAAACAGTTACTATAATATAAATATTATTTAAGTAATTATCCAAATTTTCACTATTTATGAGTTTTGAACTCACAATCTACTACTTGGAGGGTTAACAACTTATTCACTTCACTAAGTTGCCACATATCTTAAGATAGGTTTTTGGAATATTGAAAAAATATAATTCTCTTTTCATTGTTTATATATATAAAAGATTAAAATACATTAATTAAAAAAAATTACTATATAATTTTATTATAACAAAAATTAATAAAATATTATATTTAAAAGATGTAGCAATCTAGTAAAGTGGTCAGATTATTAACTTTTCAAGTGATAGTTTGGGTGTTTAAATCTTATTAACAGTGAACATTTGAATAACTATCTATATAATATTTATATTATAGTAACTATTACTAATAATTGAATTAGAATATCTGTAATAATAGTTATATTAGCATAACTGGCAGATTATGAAGCATTTGTATAACTAGTTATATAAAAAAATGCAAACTGACAAATCAGACAGTGCAAACATTAGATAAGTTTTTGTAACTATGTAAATTTATTAAAATTGAATAATAAAAAACCTATTTGAGAAGATCTAAGTTAAAAAGTAGCCAGATGTTTGATAACTTTACTGTAAAAGCTAGCTTGAAAAAATAGATACCAAGGTCATAGTATTCAGTTATAGTATTCAAACAGGTAAGAACCTCTGGGTTAAGAATCTCAGAAGTACTATCAACTAGGTTGCCAGAATAAATTAAAGAAAAAAATATTAGACTGACCTAATATATTGATAAACTAATTATAATCCCATATAGATAATCTGGATTGAGAGTCTGAACAAAAGACTGAACAAAGACAGAGGTATACTAAGTATTAAAGTTATGCTATAAAGTAGATGCTAGAGTCTGTGTAAACTCTATAAGGGCATAGTGATTAAATAATATAACTCTGATTACAAGTGTTGGTTCTGCTATAGCAATATCTAAATAGCTATAAAAATAAATACAGAAGACTCTGGTTTACTTTGAGGATAAAATAATTCTAAAGTTAAGATAATGATTTAAGCATCTGGATATAACCCAATAAATTAATACAGGTTACAAATTTAAAGAGTTTAAAATAAAACATCTAAATAAAATATTAGATATAATAATTAGTAGAGAATCTTTAGGCAAACTTCTTAAATAAGTAATATAAAAAAGTTATATATGTAGCCAATTGTATGTTTTTCTGTAATGATTTATAAAATCACATTACTAAAAAAGTCATTAATAAAAGTCAAAAGATCAAAGAAATTATCTTAATACTAAAAAAAAAAATTATTATATTTTATATTATATATAATACTAAATAATATATAAAATCAATTAGTAATTTTTTATTTATATAAAGCAAATTAATTATTGATATTTGAAAATATTATAAAATAGTAAATTTTTGTTTAAGAATAAAAAAAATTAGATATATTAGATATGAACATTGTTTCTTAATTTTAGTAAGACATTATAAATGCATAATATTACATGCTATATTATGCTATATTATAAAATGCAAATTAAAAATTATACATTTATACATTTTTAGTTAGCTAATATTAGATCAAAAAATTTAAGTTAAATATATATAATTTATACAAAAAATTTTAATAAAGTTTTATAACAAAATTACCAAAATAGAACAAAAAACTTTAATTTGTAATTAGGAATTAAATTATTAAATATAATATTAGACCTTAGTAGTTTAAATTTTTGTATAAGTTTTTTTTAACAAAATTTTTACTTTATTATTATTTTTTTTTTTGTTATTCTTTTTATTTAATAATACAGTTTTTTCTTTTAGTTTTCTATAAAAAAATGTTATTAATTTAATAAGATTTAATTATAAAGCAGTAATTTGATATAATTTTTAGAAACTATAAAGTAATCTAATATAGTAAATTATATATAAATACTTAGATAACTAAAGAATATTTTGTAGTTGTTAACTTCAATTATTTATAACTATTAAAGAAGCAATTATATAATATTAAAACTAAAATTTAGAATGCAAATGTATTTATATACATAGAAACCTAATTAAGATAATTGACAAAATGTCAAAGTGAAAAAAATAATATTTTTTATTTATAATTGAGATATTTTATCTAATAATTAAAGATTTTTTATATTATATAAAAATATTTTAATATTTAAAATTTTTTTAAACTTTAATTAAAAATATTTTAGTAATCTTTTAATCAAATTTGATAAAAATTTTTTATTTAAATTTTACAGATATGGATAAAATTTAAGTAAAAATTTTTTATCAATTTGGTTAAATAGTTATCAAGGTATTTTTCAAAATTTAAACAAATAGTACAATATAATTAAAATGATCTATCTAGGAGTATAGAATTTAAATTTCCAATCTTCGCTAATAAAAAACTAGTCATGAAATAACAAAACATATGTACGTACGAATGTATGTACGTACATTATAAATCAATATACATCTTGGACGTTAACATTTTAACGTTAAATTTCCATGCATTATATGTAAGTAGGTTTAAAATTGTAAATAAAACGTCATATTCTAATCGATAATGCTTTATCGACCATAAATTTTATCCATTTCTATATTAAAAAGGCAAAAATATAGTGAATTTACTTTTTTATTCTAACGATTATGTTGCATGCTGCATTAATTTATAACTTAAAATATTCTTACATGTATGAAGTTAAATTTTACATACATACACATACGTCATACGTATGTTACATTTTAATTGGCATAAATTTAAAACTAAGTGCATCACATTTTTAATCAACGAGTATTTTATAACGGTTAACATACATACTCTATTATGGTTAATTCAAAAAAAAAAAAAAACGTGGTATCTATAAGTGAAATACATAAAAGGCATGAATAATAAACAGAATCTCCAGGTCGGTTTTCCACTATTAATGAAGGCGCACTCTAAACTTGTTCAAAGTTAGTATTTTAACAGGCTGAAACGATATTTTCATAATCTTTATGATTTGCTAAATTAATGCTCGAAGCCACTAAAAAACTATATAAATGAGATTTTTTAATAGCATTTGTTCAATTTTTCTGAATAAAAAGATATAAATAGACAATTATGCATTCACGAGAGAATATTTATCAGACAGATAAATCAAAAAATTAACTGATAGATTCAAATCAAACGATAATGCATCGAAATTCAAGCGATCAAAAATGTTGATTTTATTGAAAACATCAATGATTGATAATGAACTAAAGAATTAAGTCGGCTATATAACACTAAATAATTTTGTTTTTTCTCTTTCATTACCTTAGTTGACCGACTTTGGATATATTTCTTCTAATTCGTTACGATAGAGCTTGAATTATAATAATTCTTTATTCATGAAGATTGCATAATCAAAATTTCTTAATGAATAACATGGAAATTCCCGAGAATCAAGCGTACGTGCCACATACAAAATGTATCATCCAAGTAGTATTCGAACAAGAAGGTAAGATTATTACATAGTTACATAGAAAGAGTTACAGTAACTGATATATATATATTTTTCATTATCAAGGCGCGTTAAAACGAACGGTTGAATTCATTCAACAATATTACAATTCCCAAATATGCCGCACGTTCTTTATTCCGCGCAAGATCAACAATTCGTTACGTTATTACTCTTCAAATAAGTGGAAAATGCCAATAATTTCATCAATTATACTTTTTGTATATCCCGTACTTACAACCGAATTTTCATCGGTAACTAATGAAACACGAGTAAAACCAATTCAAATCCAATTACTTGAAAAACCGATAAAAGTTCCTATCAAAAAACCTTCGATGCTTACTATTTCGCCGACTAATAATCCGATCAATTGTAAACAATTCATTTCTAAAATATTCAACAAACGAAAAAAAAAAGTATTATGGAGATTACCTCTAGAAGTTAGGCGACAATTTAACGAAAAAAAGAGTCCAAACAGATTTATTATTCCTTTTGGGTTTGAACTTAATATTGATTTAAATCCTAGTCGAAATTTAGTTGATAATTGTATCAAAAAAAATCTTTATTATTTCGAGGAAGGAAAATATTATGAATCGGATAAAGATTTTAAGAAATTTCAAGAACATGATGAGGGAAAAGAGAATAATAAAAATGATAAGATTGACGGATTTCGGTATCATAAATAGTTTAATCTTTGATATGTTAATTTGTATATAACATGTAATCGTATATGATTATTCTTAACGTTAATAAAAGCTTGAAATAACTAGAACCTTACAACAATATAAGACTTACAATAAATTATTTTACGACATACTTTTAAAAAACTTTTTTATTTTTATTTAATAAAAAACTTTATTACATAACATATACATTGTTTTATAAAAAATACTGTATAATTATAAAATCAATAAAGATAATATAAAATCGAATTTCTTTAATCAACACCAACTAATCAACGAATTATCTACTCAGTAAAAAAAAAATAAAAAAATAGGTTAGTGTAATTGAAATGACCTGAATGTCCCAAATATAGCACGTCGGCAACCCAAATAGCAGGAAATATTTAATAAATATTTGCCCCCCTCAGTATTAAGCGAATTTATAAAATTTAAACATTCGACCAACTATAAATAACGGTTTTATAGTATAATCAAAAATTTAAAAGTTTGAAATTCGGCATAATGTTGTACACCTGAGAGCTGCTACCGGGAGGTAACCTAGAATCCTAGGAGCGATATTTAGGAGTGTGTTTAATATTAGGAGATCAATTACAAATAAGAATTAATAAAAAATTAATACTCATCTATTAACTAAAGGGTAAAAAGGCAAGTAAAAAAGTAAAGAAACAGCGAAAAAAAAGCATTTCTTATATATCTTTTTTGCTAACACGTCCATTGTTTTGGGATTCGCAAATTTCGTAATCTCGACGTGTGCGTGTTAAATCACATTCATGTCATATCAGGGGTATTACTTTTTGGCAATGGCTGGTTTTCGCAAATTTCGTGATTTCGTGTGAAATAAAATTGATTAGATTAGATAATAGCGATAGATAGAAAAAAACGTGTTATCATTGATGTTATATCAGGGGTATTACTTTTTTGACAGTGGCTTGTAATCGCAATTTCAATGTGTGCGTGTGATTAGATAATATAGTAATGCAGAAAAAACGTGTTATCATGATGTCATATCAGGGTATTACTTTTTTGGCGTACGACAAATAACAGGAAAATTTCACTCATGTGCTGCGTAACATCACATGAAGTGATATTAACTCCGATGAAAAAAAATTTTACTTAATATGACCATGTGAAGATTTTTCCTAATCATATGATGAAAAAAACGGAGTATTACTATTTTCGGTATTACGAATAGTTGTGGTGTATAGGTTAGTAAAAATAAAACTAGCATAATATACTTGTAATATATATATATTCTGTGTTGATATCAATAGAATAAAGGAATAGAAATTAGTAGCAATAAATGAATAGAACAATAGAATAAAATAATAGAAACTAGGCGAGAATACAATTTTTATCAATAGAACAAAAAAAATGACAACGCTGTATATATTATATATAAAATAAATAGTATAGTCGAATCTAAATTTTATAAGTGACATGAAAATTTTACAGAAATTTATTTTAACGAAAATCAAGTTTTTTTTACATGATCAAGCATTATCACTTACATTGTGACTCTAATGTAAGTATATAGATTTAATGTTGGCCAGAATTATGATAAACTTGGCCAGTATTAAGACCAAGCACGACAATACTACTTTATAAATTTTTACAAAAGAATTTCCGGGTTCGATCCATCGGATTTGTGGGCTACGACTTTCATTATAAAATTTTACGTAGTGATCTTTGAACAAAATTAGTTAATTCCGGCCCTTCCGATCATGGTTCCGACCTGGAATTTGGGGAACCTTCTTGTATGATTCTACTTTATACTAAACCATACACCACAATTGTATACGGTTCTTATTCAAGAACTTTATTTTTTAAATTGAATAGTACCCGTGGGTACTGTGTAAGAAACCGGGTACTATGAAAAGTGATAAAACCAATATAATTATACCCCTGATATTATTTAAGAATTAAGCCAGGTGGATGTGAATAATATACTCTTAAATAAACTTGCTACTCCAACCATTCTCACGTATTTGCTAATTATACATATACATTGTTCAAGAACTTCGTTTTTTAAATTGAATAGTACCCATGGGTACGATGTAAGAAACCGGGTACTATATGTGGAAATATATCATCTGAAAAGTGATAAATAATACCCGGATCTTAATCCAGTAATCAAGAGGATATACGAATAAATTTTACATGCATATTATACACGATATATTACTTTATACGAAATAACCATATTTACACTCACGTACTCCTACTTTATTACGTAAACAGTACAGTATACACGACTACTTTACACTACAACTATACTCCTAATATGATATCATTGATTTTGCGTAATAGCACGTTTTTTTGCGATTTGCGAAAACAAGCCCGCTAAAAAAAGTAACACCCCTGATATGACATCATATGACATCAATGATAGCACGTTTTTTTATCTATCTCTAATCAATTGGATTTTACACGAACACGTCGAAATCTTAAAATTTGCGAATTTTAAAAACAATAAACGTGTTAGCAAAAAAGGTATATAAGAGATGCTTTTCTCCCGCTGTTTCTTTACTATTTCACTTGCCATTTTACCTTTTAGTTAATAGATGAGTATTAATTTTTTTTATTAATTCTCATTCGTAATTGGTCTCCTATAATTAAACGCTCCCCTGAATATCGCCCCTAGGATTCTAGGTTACTACCCGATAGCAGCTCGGGTGTGTACACCATTATCCCGAATTTTTAAATTTTATTTATTATTTGTTTTTATTTTTCTTTTTTTATTTTATTTTTTTATTTTTATTTTTTGTTGTAAAATTATACGGGCAATGTTTAGTTTATCTTCCCGGGGAGATAAGTTAAACGTTGTTTATATATATGATTTTACAATAAGAAATTTAAAAACAAATAATAAACACTATTTTTTTTTATTTTTAAAATTTAAAAATTCGCTTAATGTGTAGTACGAATATATTTATTAAGAATGTTGGGATATTCTTTTTAAATATTTCCCGCTATTTGGGTTGTTGACAATGCTATATTTGGAACTTTTAGGTCATTTCAATTACACTAACCTCTATTTTTATTATTTTTTTTTTTTAGTGAGTAGATAATTCGTCGATTAGTTGGTGTCGATTTAAAGAAATTCGGTCGAAACAAGTTTTATTTTTGAATATCGATTTTATAATTATATTTTTTTTATAAAATAATGTATATGTTATGTAATAAGTTATATAATAAAGTTTTTTATTAAATAAAAATAAAAAAGTTTTTTCGTCAAGTAAATAATAGTTTTTTTTGATTAAACAAAAGTATATCGATATCATCAAATCAATTATTGCAAGTTTTAAATTGTATTATCGTTATAACCTTTAATATAATTATAACTTATAACAATTATATTACTATTACTTGAAAAAACCGATTTTATTAAAGTATTCGACTTCGAATTTATACAGCTTAGTTATTTTTGCAATATATCAATGTACCATTTTTTTTATGATCATAAAAGTGTTTCGCTCTAGTTTATTAATTACTATTACTGTAGAACGTTAAATAATCATTCATGCTATATTGATATTAACCTTCGATTTTACTGATATAGACCACGTGAAGAGAAACATTGATAAGTAGTCGTACGTACGTACTTATGTACATACACATCGTGATTGGGTAATCAAAGATCAAATTTCAAACTCTTTCCTAATAACAAAAAAACTTGTATAATAAAAAATGAAAATATTCGTTCCTACCAAAACTTATTTAACAAAAACTCAAGTAAATCAAAAATTAATTAGACCAAAATCTATAATAGAATCAATTCAAAGATTAATTGAATTATTTCAATGTAGTAATGGAAAAGTTTTAGTTTTAACTGGTGCAGGTATATCAAGATTTATACATATCGATATGTAATAATAATATTTATATAATCAATTTCATATAAATCTTAAATATTTTTTATAGGTATTAGCACAGATTCAGGTATTCCAGATTATCGTGGTCCAAGGGTAATAAGAATTATTAAATTTATTATAAGTTATTAAAAGTTATTAAAAGTAATAAAAAATATTTATTCTTTAATTAAATATAATCAAAAGGGAACTTATGTAGTAAATACAAATTATAGACCGATATTTTATCACGAAGTAAGATTATTATACAATTTTTATTATTGTTACTGTTGTTATTATAACTTTGTTTAAAAAAAAAAATTTGAATCGTTTAACATCTTTATCATCATATATTATTGTTTTATTTAAAGTTTACAACTTTTCATCAATCTCGACAACGATATTGGGCAAGATCTTATTTAGGTTGGCCATTAATGAAAAAAGCTCAACCAAATATTTCACATTATGCACTTTCAAAATTACAATTAAATAATTATATTCAACAAATAATAACTCAAAATGTTGATGGTCTTCATCAAGAATTTGACTCTAAAAAAAATATTTTAGAACTTCATGGTTCTTTAAATCAAATTCATTGTTTAAATTGTGGTCATATAAAACAAAGATCTGATTATCAATTAATTTTAAGTAATTTAAATCCTAAATGGAATGATTTTTTAAATAATGTTGAATCGGGAAAATTTTCTCCCGTTGTAAGGCCTGACGGTGATATGGATTTACCTTATGGTACTTCTTATGATTCTTTTAATTATTCTTCTTGTGTTCAATGTTCTATAGGAATTTATAAACCTTCTGTTGTATTCTTTGGTGAAAATGTTAAAGATAATATAAGGCAAGAATCTATAGATTTAGTTAAAGATTGTAAAAGTATTTTGGTGGTCGGTTCTTCGTTAGCTACTTATTCTGCATTTAGAATCGTCAAACTTGCTAGTGATCTAGGTAAAGATATTGCTATTATCAATCTTGGTGAAACCAGAGGTGATAATTTATCTTTTCTAAAAATTGATTTTCCTTGTGCTGATTTATTACCAGAAATCGCTAATCAATTAACAAAGTCTTAACAAAGTAATAACAAAGTTCTAGATTAATTTAATTAATGAAATATTGATCTCATTTATTCTTTATTTTTTATATAATTTTACAAATGGTATTTTGGACATTTAAAATTATAATCGTTTTGTATAAAAAAAAGGTTGTTTCTTAATAATACGTGAAAAGTGAACTTATGCAAACAGTATAGATTCAGTATAAATTAAGATTCTATGAAATATAATATCATCACTCATAACACCTTTATACCTTACATACTTACATATACTTACAAAATAATATATCATTTTTAATTATTGGTTGAATCCTTTGAGCAGTGCATCAAAATCAGGTTTAGCGCTAGATTCCTTATTTTCTATAACGGACATGTCATCTAAATCTGGTGCAATTATATTATTTGCAATGTATAAAAGATCATCAGCTGTATTGGATTTTTTCTTTTTAGACGATTTCTTTGGTGCTGATGGCGTTTTATGTTTAGAAGGCACTGACGATTTTTGCATGTCTAATTCATCCTTAAATATATGTGGAAAATGACACTGTGACTATATAAGCAACTTGTTCATTTTATTATTTATCAAATACAATATGAAAGTTAATGACTTACGTTACGGTTATCACACCTTCCCGTATCTGCAAATACGAAGCAGTAATTGGTTACAACACCAGTATCTTCACATTCCTCTCTCGTAAGATGCGGGAAAGAACACTAATAAAAAAAAAAAAAGACAATTGTGTATTAAATTTTTACTATAAAATGATTTAAAATAACTTACATCTAAATTGCTACAATTTCCAGTTCTAAGAAACTCAAAACAGTAAAAAGGTCTTTTATCAGTCGGTCTAATAGGAAATGTGGAAGGAATTTGATTAGGGGGCCCATTCCATTGCATTGGTATAAATGGTATCGTTTCCAAGTCTAAAAGAGGTGATTGGGAATGTGCTTTATGTAGATCATATAAATGTGTTGTGACCTCAGGAACAACTATTAATGGATTGTTATCGGCTGTTGATGATGATGATGATGACGATAAGTCTATGTTATCAATATCAGTGCTTTTGAATACCGTGGCATGTGGTTCTCCTTTCAAATGGGAAAATAAATATGACCCTTTAGGGAGGCTAATATTTAGAAAAAAATTACTCATTAATCTTCAAGTTAATCTTCAAGTTAATAAAGATAAAAATCATCTGGTAAAGTAAAATACCTTTGCAATTTCTTTAAAATATAGTGAAGCATCTTGCTGTGAGGTCTTGGCCTAAAAAAATGTTAGAAAATTTATTGGTCTCTTATTATAAAAACACATATATATATATAATTTTAAATTACTTACCAATTTCCGTCCGGAATTATATCAGCCATTCTCTTTTTTTCAATAGTCCATAATTCATTGTTTAATACATTAACTCTACCAAGCATTAAATGTGCATTATTTCTGATAAAAGTATAAATCCACCATCGAGCTCTTTCAAGATTTGTAATATCTTCGTAGCCAACATCCAATTGGTATTCCAATTTGGTTTTTATTCCTACAATACGAATCTATATATTTAAAACGTAATATGTAGATAAGCTGCAAAAAAAAAAAAGTAATATAATGACAATATCTGAACATATATAATTTGGAAATTTTTAACTTTCTTATCCGTATCAGGTTCTTGAATAAATCCATGAGCTTTACAACGTATCAACATATTTATATCACCAAAACTCCAAAGGTTATATAATGAATTTCCTGAATGAATATCACTTGATTTCTCAGAATTATTTGTATCGATGATCCCTTAATCCAATGTATAAAAAAAAAAATAAAAAAAAAAGTAAAAAAAATAAAAAGGTAAATAAATAAAATACCCTCATTCATAGGTCCATCGTACGAACTTTCCTCTGATGGATGTAAGACATTTTTAATATCAATGCCTTGTTTCAAAGCAAGACTTTCGAATGCCACATCGTAAAAGAGTTGATTTCGTTGCCTAGGTGTCAAACGTTTTTTCACTAGAGGTTTATCAATATATATGGTTTTAAGGATAGAATTTTCTATATGTAACAAACGGTAGAGTTAATATGATATCTAAGCAATGTCTAGTATAAACATAAGTAAAATTACCTGCTTCAGACTCAGTAACGCAAATAGGTATCTCGAGTTCAACGTCTGAAGATGCTTGTAGTGACACAAGAGCACAAAGTCCACTTGAGGATATGACTATGTCGACTTTGTGTTGAGTTACCATTGATTGGATCAATGGATCTTTGCTAACTGCTGGCATACACTATTGAAATATGCATGTTAAAATAATAATAATAATACTAATACCATTTAATAATTTAAATATACATAACATAAATTTGAAAAATACCATTTTTTGCCAATAATCTGCAGGCGGAACTGTCTTTTTTCCGTCATTGTCATTATCACTTATTTTGGTTTTACTCTTATCGTTTTCTACGTCTTCCTTTAGATTTGAACTATTTAACAAATCAGTTGAATTGCTAGCATTAATCGTATCAGAAACCTTATCATGTATCCAATATTCCTTGACTCTAGATATTGGTATTGGTTTTGATAATGGTTGAAGACTAAAATTATAGCATGTTCCCTACACAATTATAAAATATTAATGTGATTGATAGATAACAAAGAAAAAGGATTATATAATTAATTAGATGGCCTTACAGTTGCTTTTATTGTTTGCTTAAACTTTAATGTAGGTTCCCCAGGGCCTGGAGGTGGAAGTGCAAGGCCTATTGTAAACATAAGCTCATAAAAGCGCTTTTAAAAGTAAAATCAGTTATAATGTGAAACATGAAAATAACGATTCATTTAAAAATATAGAGTAAATACGTACCGGATATTCTTTAATAACGTGTTGTCTACCGAATGTAAGATGGTGCTGTATATAATTTAGTTGAATTCGAACGTAAATACAAAAAAAAAAAATACAAATATAATACTATAACAAACCTCTACATGATCAGCTATATTTTGATTTAAGAATGAAAGTCGAGTTTGAGCTCTATCATATTGCCATTTAATATATTCTTCTCTCTCTTTTTGAATACGTTCATTCATGTTTAAAAGAAAATTCCTGTCTTGTTCAGATATCAAAGTAGGCTATGTTTTTAGAAAAATAAAATCAGCATAATTATATAATAATATAATAATATAATAATTAAATAATTAAATAATAAAAGGCTAAAACGTACACTAGTCGTAGCAAGTGTTTTAAGTTGAAGGTATTTGAGATGTTCTTCTTCAGACATTGAAGAAAAGTGGGTTTTGAATGTTGTTGATGTACTTGAGGTATCTGAAACATTTGAAGCCCTTCTATCCGTAACGGGTGATACTGGTGCAGAATTGTTAACATTTCGAATTGCATTGGATTTTTCTAATTGCTTTCTTTGTTGATCAAGCAATTGTAAGAATGGACCAATTACATCTACAGATTCTTGTGATTCAACTTCTTCAGCTCGCTTTTCTGATATAACTTCTTCAGCTCGCTTTTCTGATATAACTTTAATTGACTCAGACTTTGTAGATGATGATAATGATGATGATGATGATGATGATTCTGGTTTCGAATTTAAAGGAAGTCCTGTGGATGTTTCCTTAACGGATAGTAATGAAGTAGTTTCCGAGCTTTTTATTGAGGTCAAATCAGTCATCCTTTTTAAAGTGGGAAAGCTTGAATTATACCCCACCTGCACAGTAATTTTTGGCTTTGTTTTTATCTCATAGGATTCTTCTTCACTACATTGATCATCCATAATCAAGTCATCTAATGTCAAATTAAGTCTAAGTAAAAAAATCTGAAAAAAAAACAAAATCAGCATATACGCGTTACGTAAAGATAATCCTTACCATCACTTTTAATTGGACTCGTGATTTGCTCATTAATTTGTGATTTATCAATAACGTTATCAGGTTTTTGAACTGATATATCTTTTTTTTCTTGTTGCATAGAAAAAATCTCGCATGTTCGACGAAATGAATAAAATGAATATTTTTCGTAAGCGTCTCTGGTAAAAAATGAGTTACAATCAACTGGTGGTGACGGATAATCGATATGTTGGCTAATAAAGGTAATTTTTTCAAATTGAATGCATGAAAAAAAAAAAAAATTGTTTATGCTATCATGCTATAATTTTAATTAATATTACCGTACGATTTCCGCTACATGTTGGTCGTGACCTTCAGGAACAATCTCGGTCTCGACAATCGGAATTAATTCTTTATCACTACTACTTCCATCATTTACTCCTCGAATAATAGGAAGTGTGGAAACAAATTTCTTTTGCCGTGTCGCGGCAAATTTATCAAGTACAGCGAGAGCTTCAAGACGTTCCATACTCGAATTTAGTTCCATATCGATATTCAATTTTCTCATTACCAAAAATCGATATCATAAATGATTAGCCAAAATGACAATCACATGATAAAGTCACAGCCGCAGCATTACAAAAGATGCCTACAAAAAAATATATGTATTTTATAGAAACAAAAAGTATTCTAACTTCTTTAATTTTTCAAATATTAGAAAGTCGAAATGTCAAGAGTCCTATTGTGAAGCAAAATACATTATATAATGCTACGTACTGATACATAGTTAAAGGATAGTCGAAGTGCTATAACTATTTTCATACATTAATAATTCAGACTATTCTAAAGCTCTATTAGATACTTCACTTATTAATCAATTGCAAAAAAAAAAAAAAATTATGACTGTGTTTATAATAAAACTATTCTACAAATATAGATATTATTACCACATATTGATATTCCCTTTAAAATTTTTCTTCACAAAATTAAAACAAGATCCTGCTATAAGAAGTGACTCGAATTAAAGTATTTCAAAAAGTAATTTTTTACAACTCAAGTTCAAAAAACTAAAACAATCCAACCGTGTATGTACAATTGTATGATCAGATGTAACATAAAATTATTGTGAAATTTTGGTATAAGTTATTTCCTCCTCCAGTCCCTAACTTAACGTTAATATTTAATTTCGCAATTTTACATAGTTCTATATGTAAATCTACATTGGGTTTATAAAGATTCAATTAAAATCTACATAACTTTACATAAAACTTCACATAGATCCATATAAAAATGTGCTTGCTGATGTTTACCTGTGTTTTACATCTATGCATACATTATCTTAAATACTAGCTAATTCATTGGCACAGAATTTTCTAGATAAAAATATTTACGCTTCGAAAAAAACTTTTCAAACTCTAACTTTAAATATTAACCAACATTAAAAAATTAGATTAAAAATTTTATATGTATATAAAAGATAAAAATTTTAAAAAATATGCATTTTATAATAATTAAATGTTCAAAATGATTTTCTTATTGCCACATTATAAATACGTAGTATATCTAATAGAATGGTAAATAGAAAGAGTCTTATGCTAGACTTAAATTTAGGTAGAATTAGCCGTTATACTTTCTGGATCTGCCACATGAACTGTTTCTAAGTCCTTTATTTCTTTTTTTAATTCAGCGATTCTTTTCTGTTTTTCAAGCATTCTAATGTCCTTCTCTAAATCTGCTTCTTTTTCTTCAATGATAACTTCATGAGCTTGGTTATCATTATTATCATCTGTTACTCCCTGTTGAATTTGTGTTTTTCGTTTCTTAATAATCACAATCAAGCCGTAAATAATCATAATTAAAATACAAAGTATAGCAAAAAACATAGCAGGAGCATATGCTTGGAAAAAACAATTGATGGGAGGAGTAGCATAATAGAAGTTATGATTGTAATAATTGCCTTGATAATTAGCACAATCATTTGCAAGTGGAGCAATAATCCCATAAGATAGGGCAAAAAGTAACAAAATAACTAGGATGGTCCAATAACATCTTACTCTTTTACTACATTTACACATAATTATTATTTGACTTGTTTTATTCTCTGAGACTTTTATCGTTTATAATTTCTGTGACTTTTATCGTTTATAGTTTCTGTGTAAATTTATATTTTTTTAAGTTCCCTTTGAAATTTAAGACCAGAAATTTGGGTAGGAAGTTTGTTATCGTTAAGGTTATTATTATAATAGAACAGGGTGAAGCCTGAGTTGCAAAATAGTGAAATCCGCTTGGATCGGGTTAGGGTGAAATTCGCGCTTTATTACGTTTTTTATTATAAAAGCGAATTTCATCCTCATGTGATGGTCATAGCGGATTTCACTATTTCTCAAGTCAAGTTTCACTCTGTCATATTTAATGTATACTTTCATTATCAGCGCCCGATTTGTCACGTAGATCGGGGTAAATTTTTTACTATGAAATTTGAGCGATCGACATCCATATGAAATTGTAACGGTAGGTACTTTTCAAATAGAGGTTTCCTAAAAGGAAACCGTATTTGTGTGACAAGGTACAGAGATTTAGTTTCGTAAAGTACTTTAGATTTTCTAAGTTTAAAGTGAGAAAATAATAAAGTTAAAAAGAACCATGCTTTTAAAGTCACTCTTCCGTTTCATTTTTTACATATAATGTTGAGTTTTTTTAACCGTTACTGAACCACAGTTTGTTAAAGACTTATGACTCTAATCATTACTTTCTTGGACTCTAACTTTGAACACGTCATATAGAGGAATTACAGCCAACTCTTTCTATAACGAACGGAAGATTCTAAAAGAAGTTTGCTATAAAAATTATCATGTTTTTTCAAAAACTTATAATACCTTTAATACTGAATTACAATCAACTCTTTTTGTTCTAAATAGTTCATTTTTATATGTAAAAAATGCTCAAAAAGTTCAGTTCTTAGAGTTACTATGTTACTTTATAATAAAATTTACAAACGTTCTGGAACCTTATATTTGGTTTTCATAAAGTTTATTAAGAGTTCAAATTAAAAAAAGTTGATTGTACTATAAATTTCAAAATTTTGAGTTCACTTTATTTAAAGTTTGTTATAAAAAAGTTCATTATATTTGAAATCAACTGTATATAAAAACCTTATAGCAAAAAAATCTATTGGGTTATTTTAAATTTTACTATTTAAATAAATATATCTTATGATCTAGTGATTAGAATTAAATAATTTTTATATTATTTAATTTGTCTTATTGAAAAAAATTAAATAATATAAAAACTATTTAATTCTAATCACTAGATTATAAAGTATATTTATTTAAATAATAGAATTTAAAATGGCTTAATGCATCTTTTGTTGTAGGAATCCTTATATAAAAGTTATTATATCTTTAAAATTTCAAATATTTTTATATTTAAAATATAATTTTATATAAATTATATTATATAAATTGCATAGTTAAATAAATATAATTATAAATCAACATATATATATAGAGTGTAGTAACTTAGTAAGATAAATAAGTTGTCAACTTTTCAAGAGTAGGTTGTAAATTCAAAATCTACTAACAGTAAAAATTTAAATAATTATTTATGTAATATATAAATAGTATTACAGTAATAGCATTTTGTTGATCAGTTACCTGTAACTATAATTGCACTAGCATAACTAACAAATTATAAAATATTTGTATAATTTTAGTTATACAGTAAGATGTAAACTAGTACTAAGTAGTATAAATCTAAAATAAGTTTTTGCAATTATATAAATCTGTAAAACTAAAAAAAAACTAAAGTTTACTTAAAAAGATTTAAAAAAAAATATAATATTAATTTTTGATAATATTATTATAAAAGTTAGACTAAGAAAATAAATACTAATGTAAAGAAATCAGATAAGTAAGAACCTTTAGATAAAGGGTATTACCAACCAGACTACTAAGTCAAATTAAAAGAAAAGATATTAAATCAGACTTAATATACTAAAAACAGATTATAGTTTTTTTAAGTTATTTGGATTAGAAGTCTAAAAACAAAGCAAAAGTATACTAAATACTAAGAATATACTGTAAAGTAAATACTAGAATATATATAAACTCTACAAGAGCAAACTCTTGTTAGTAATTTATAAAATAAATAAATAGTTAACAAAAAGAGTCTTATATTTTAAAATATATAATGGTCTAAAAAACAGTTTAGAAAAAAAGATTCTGTATTGCTTAAATAATATACAATATGTATATATAAAAGGTATAGTAGTAGTTAGATAATTAACAGAACAGATGATCAGAGAGTTTAAATAATAATCTTATAGTAAATTATAAATATAGCATCAAGTATAAAACTCTAAAATAGACTACTTAAATAAGCAACCAAAAGTTATATATATAGTTAACTATAATTTTATCTTTGAAAATTAGATGTAATACTAATCTTAATATATTAATAAAATAGTTAACATAAAGTATAGTCTTTAACAATAAAAAAAAAATATATATATAGTTATTTTTTTTTTAAGTTAAAGTATTTACTTTTGAAAAATAATATTTTTATTTAAATTTATAAAACACTAATATCTTTAAACATTTTCTTATATAAAAGATTATAACTAGTTATATATATATTTTTAATATTTAATTTAAATAGTTTGCTTATATATTATTATATAAATTTTATATTAAATATTATACTTGTATATAATCTATTTTATATTACAAAAACATCTTCAAAGGTATGCTTATTCAAAATATCTAATATATATTATTATTTTTTGAACTATTATTCTTAGCAAAAAACTTACTAAAACCTTTTGTTTTTTTTTTGTTGTTTTTTTATTGTTAAAGTAAGGTTATGCCTTCAAGTTTTTATTAGTATATTGGTTATAGCTAGTACAATTTTTATTATACATCATCTATCATTATATATTTATTCAGACATAGGACTCAGATGTCTTTATCTGTGACCTAAACCTACTAAAGCTTTGTATTGTATCCCACTTACACCTAACCCAGATTTTTGTTTCACTACTGATTATATTAGATAACCTACATATTCTCCCTATGTCTCACAACCTATTTTTCATAACTCCCAAATTGGTTCACTAGGTCATTTGCTCCTTTTGAGCTTCTATCTTTGGTTTGCCTGAAGGGTGCCTCTCTAGCACATATCTTAAGTCAGATTTCTGCTGTCACTGCTATTTTCCCAATTCAGGTACTGGTAGCATGTATCTCAAGTCAGGTTCCTGCTATCATTGCTAGTTTGCAACCCTTCTTGGTCTTAGCATTATTCAAATGGATTGTGCATTTAATCTGCCCCTTAAATATTCTCTTTTATGATATAATAGAACTATGTTTCAAAAATAGTACTTCTATTTTCTTCCAGCCATTGGCCAACATTTCCTTTCTACTTAAACACATGAGGACTTATCTTGTGTTTGCACTGCCCAAAGCTGGTTTGCATCCCTCTGTATACACTGATCTATACAGATACTTGTGTAAATCTGCATTCTCACAGATGCTCTGTGCTTATTCGCAAAGATCATTTCTAATTTAAGTATCTCAACTTTGATTGGTACAGCATTTATATTGATGTGTTTTATTTGTTTCACTATAAGCTTCTATATAGGTGTAATCAAAGCTCCAGCTAAGTAATCTGTATAACAAGGTTACAACTATTTTCTAAATTTTTTAAAACTAAATTTTTTATTAAAAATTTTATTTTTATTTCTTTGTTATATTATTTATAAACTTTTATTTATGTTTTTGTTTTTAGTTGTATATAACTTTTGCTGCCCTATCTTTTTTGTTATAGGCTAAAGTATTGTTTTCTAATATATTTTAGTGTTGTTTCCTGTTTTTGCTTCTTGACAATTTGGTTAAAGAATCTGCAGAAAAGAGTTGTTTCTATATTTATCTAAAAGTATTAATAATAAAATAATAATTATTTATTTTATAACAATATAAAATACAAAAGGTTTTAGAGGATGTGGGTTCCATAGCTTAATTGTTAAGCTTCCATACCCTCACAGTCAAGGTCAATAGTTCAAGTCTGGCTGAAGGCAAAAATCAAAAAGATTTTAGCTTCTGTAACCTATAAGGAGCCAGTAATTAAATGTGAAGCCCTGTGGTTAAGTCCAAGTGCAGTACATGACGGAAAAAGGAATTTCCAGAAGGAGACTGACTTTGCAGAGAGCAGACACTACAGGTGACAGTGGCATCACAGAAGGTTTTGTTACACGAAGTATTGCGCATATAAGTCCTCTGAAGACAGAGCAGTACTAACATCTTCATATTCAACTTGAAAAGTAATTGATTAGAAGAATGATACCAAGGTAACATATACTAGAGTAGTGAGAGAAGCAGTACATGCATAGAAGGTCTGTGACAAAGGATTAGTCTTATCAAGATTGGAAGCACCTCTGGCATCATGGAATGACCAAAAATAGAAGGTAGCTGTATGTATAGAAAAGTTGTAGCCTGTCCTAGGGGCCTGCAAATTGCCTATTTTTGAGGCCCGGCCCGGCCCGCAATTAGGGTTAAAAATTTTTTTTAGGCCCGG